ACCCAAGAAGGGCATTTGCTTACTTAACCATATATCAGAGAAGAGAGAAGTGGTGGAAGTGGTTGGCTCTGAGTGCAGGCAACTATTAGATACATTGTGTGTAAAGGATTTAAAAACTATAATAAAAACCAACCATGCATGGCAGTTATAAAAATGTCAGTGAAAACGTATTTCTTCCTAAAAAAATTTTTTATGGTTTAGGCTGTAAACAATTGCTGCATACTATTAAATATATATAAGCTTCAAATTAGAGCTTTTTACTACTTACTTTTAAGAAAATATTGTGTTTTAATGGCAATTAGATAATTCCCAGTTACACAATTGGCCCATTGGCATATGGGAAGGAACTGTAAGCATTAGCTTTGTAAATAAATTCCTAATGGTTTGGGATTGTTGAACTAGATTGGGTGGGTTGTGGGGAGAGAGAGACACAGAATGTGTTTCAAGCTCCTGTGGTACTAATAGTTCTGCATCTCAATGGTAGATTTGAAATGAAAAAGGATGACACAGTAATTGTAAAGATAAAAAGAGAACTTGAATTACTTCAATTCTGTTATCCTATGTGACCACTTGGAGTCTTTACATGAATTTAAAATTTAAAACAGTGATACAGTGCAAACTTCAAGGTAAAATAGTTTTGTTTGGTAATTTTACATCTTTTAAAATCGAAACAGCTTTTGATTTTGTGAACAGAATTCAGATATGGGTCAGACCTAGTTTCGTAATGACTTGGTCTTATGTATTAGTTGGAGAAGACAGAACCAACAGGATAAGTTATAACTGTATGAGAGGGGATTTATTAGGGGAATTGGCTCACGCGATTGTGAAGAAAAGTCCCACAATATGCCGTCTGCAAACCAGACGCCGGTAGCGTGGCTCAATCCAAGTCAGAAGGCCTCTCAGAACCAGGGAAGCCGATGGTATCCTTGGTGTAAGTCCTGAAGCCCAAAAGCTGAAGAGTCTCTAGCTCTGGTATCCATGCACAGGAGAGCAGAGGATATCACAGTTCCAGTGGGTAGAGAGAGAGATTCACCTTTTCCCTCTGTTTTTGTTCTATCCGGGCCCCCATAAGATTGGATGATTCACACCCATATTGAGGGCAGATCTTTCCCACCCAGAGTACTCAGGCCATCATGCTAATGTCTTTTGGAAACACCCTCATAGACACACCTAAAAAGATTGCTTTTCCATGTTTCTCTTTAATCTAATCAAGTCGACACCTAGAATTAAACTTCACACTGAAATTCCTGAGCAGAAGGCTATCAAGTTTTAGTTTATGCATAAAATCTTAGTTAACTTGAATAATATCTTTTAGTTGGAATTCTTTTTATTTAATTGTAATTACATGCTAACATTATTATTCATTACTATGAAAAACCACTATGTAGGTATAATTTTTCCCTTAATTATTGTCATTAAATAGTATTAATTCATTACAATTTTCCTTTTTGTATATAATCTCTGTTTTTTATTTCTTTATTTTATTTGGTGGCTGGCCATACTATTTCTATTTTACTGGCATGTTTTATATATACAAAGTTCAATAAAATAAAATTTCACTATCTGGCAGAGTGTTGCTAAACCAAGGTTAAGGGTTCTGATCAACTTACTGGCCAGCTGCCCAAAAAAAAAAATTCATTATCTATTTTCATGGCCATTATTATTAATTTGACTTCAAGATTATTACTTCAAATACCTTTGTTATATGGAGAATTAGAAGTTTAAAAATGATCAGTTTTCTCAGACCAAGGTCAAGAGTTCGGATCAACTTACCAGCCAGCTGCCCCCCTCTAAAAGATGAGCTTTATTTATTTATTTATTTATTTATTTATTTTAAAGATGACCAGTAAGGGGATCTTAACCCTTGGCTTGGTGTTGTCAGCACCACACTCAGCCAGTGACCTAACTGGCCATCCCTATATAGGATCTGAACCCATGGCCTTCATGTTATCAGTGCCACAATCTCCCAAGTGAGCCACGGGCTGGCCCTAAGGGGCACTTTTTAGGCTCTAAATTTTGCAGAACATGGTCATATTCAGGAGGAGGGAGGAAGATATTAGATGTTTCTACTTTTTTTTTTTTTGGTTACTAGCCCATAAGGGGATCCTTGACCTTGGTGTTATCAGCACCATACTCTAACCAAGTGAGCTAAATGGCCAGCCCTATTTCTACGTTCCTATTCCTCTTAGACAATAAGTGCCAAAGGGCAAAATTACAACAAATTTAAAGGTCTCAATTGGCTTTATTGCAATTCTAGAATTGGGTAACATGTCATTCCACAGAATAGGATGAGTGTTCCAATGAGCTGAGCCAAGAGGTTGACTTTATACAGAGAAAAAGGGCTGAAGAAAGCAGAAACAAAGAACAAAAAGCAGATTAGTCATTTCAAAGTTACTTTCCTTGTAAGGTGGGGTCAGGGAGACAGAAAAATAGAAAAATAACTGATTATTTAACATAGAGTTACTTCAGGCTGCTTTTTTGTGTGTAAGGATTAAAGCAGAGGGAACTTTATTATCATGCCTATTGAAGATTTAAACTGGCCTGTTTGGGAAATTGACTATCATCTCTCTGTCATGCTTTCTTGGAAGGTCAGATCACTACTTAGTTTGGGTTTGGTGACGTGGAACCTTTAGCATGAGTGACTCTGTTTTGATTTTTAGTCTGGTCTGTTCAGGAATTAGGTCAAAAAATGTGTCCAAAACAATAGTCTCCTATATGGGCCGGCCCGGTGGCGCACTGGATAGTGCGCCGCTTGGGGGCGCGGCGGCGCTCCCGTCCGAGGGTTCGGATCCCACATACGGACCGGCTCCCGCTCACTGGCTGAGCGAGGCGTGGGAGCAACACCGAGGCTTGCGATCCCGTTGCCGGTCCCCGGTCCGGTACGGGGGCAACACTGAGGGTTGCGATCCGTTGCCGGACACGGAAAAAAGACAAAAGACAAAAAAAAAAAAAAAACAATAGTCTCCTATAATTTTTATTTAACATAAAGTAGAGGAAGAAAGAAGAAACTGAATTTTTTTTTTTTTTTTTTTTTTTTTTTT